TTAGCAACATTGCTTCATTGAGGTTTGCAGGCATTTGTTTATGCACAGCTCTCTCAAAGCACCACCACAGTATTGAGTTGAAGTCTGGACTTTGACTAAGTCTTTGCAACACCTTGATGCTTTTCTTTTCCAGTTGTTATGTTGTAGATTGGCTGGTGTGCTTGGGATTATTTGCTTGTTGCATGACCCAATTTTGGCCAAGCTTTAGCTGTTGAACAGATGGCCTCATATTTGAGTCTCAAATACTTTGGTATACAGAGGAGTTCATGGGCAACTGACTGCAAGGTGCCCAGGTCCTGTGGCTGCAACAAGCCTAAATTATCACCCCCTCCATCACCATGCTTGACAGATAACTGATATGCTGTCTTTTTTTCCAAATGTGGTGCTATGGCTAAACATCTCCACTTTGGTCTCTTCTGTCCAAAGGACATTTTTCCAGAAGTCTTGTGGTATGTTCAAATGCAATTTTGCAAACCTAAGCCATGCCACCATGTTCTTTTTAGATAGAAGAGACTTCCTCCTGGCAACCCTTTCAAACAAACCGTGCTTGTTCAATCTTTTTCTAATTGTGCTGTCAGGAACTTTAACATTTAACACGCTAACTGAGGCCTGTAGAGTCTGAGATGTAACTCTTGTGGGCTGTGCAATTTCTCTGAGCATTGCACAGTCTGACCTTGGGGTGAATTTGCTTGGGACTCCTGGGAAGATTGGTAATTTTCTTGAATGTTTTCCACTTGTGAATAATCTTCCTTCCTGTAGAATGATGGACTTTAAATTGTTTGGAAATGCCCAAATTGATGAGCAGCAACAATTGCTTCTCTATAATCATTGCCAATGTGTTTCCTCCTTGGCACTGTGTTAACGCACACAATTTGTGTGTGTTTGCTCCAGACTAACAAACTGATAAAAATTCAGCTTTTATAGAGGTGGTCACACTTGCTGATGATCAGTCCGTCAAGGGCATTTGGTTAGAAGCAGCTAGCTGCGACTTAGCTCCTTAATTCCCATGGAATCACTAATGGTGTACTTAGTTTTTCACACGTTGCTTCTTCATTTTGACTTTATTTTTGTTAAATAAATTATGACACAGTGTAATATGTCATGTGTTGTCCTTCATCTGAAGTAGTATTTAATTTTCAGACCTGTTAAGGACCAGTTGATTTTTATTATATTCTCATAGGTAAAATCATAGAATTCAAAGCAGGCGTACTTTCTTTTTCACATGATTGTATTTTATCACACAGATGGCTCACATTGTCATGATTATCATTTGATGGACACTGAGTGGATGAGGACTTTGGGTCTGCATAGTAGCCAGCTCAAGGCAGAGTGACTAGCTCAAGCTCACCTAGTAAAATTAATGAGGGATCAGGGATACAAACTCATCTCTCTTCAACCCGAGTCCATCATGCTAACCACTGTGTTGCCCTTTGCTGGCTCATTATTCTAGGACTGTCATCTTATCCTAATTAATCTCATATACTATGCACATGTGAGCCCACACACACACATGTGCACATCTGGATCAACAAGCCATTTGCATTTTGGGCTTTCCTTAGACGGGTGGCTATGGGTACTCTCATGTCATTATCAATGTCTGAATTACAAAATGTGCCACTGCACCGTTGACTAAGCCTCAATTCAACGGAGAAGTTCGCATTTACAACACATGCCTCCTGAAATTCAGAACTTCCAACCCCACTAGAGCAGATCTTGATCTATCACATAAACATACACTTCAAGTCAACAGATAGTCTTGAATGCAGATCTCCTAAACCCAAGTCTAGCTCTTTACCTATCAGGTCAACCTGCATTTCAGTTAAATGAGATTGACAAGATATATGCTGCTTTAGATGGATTCTATATTATTTCACAAACGATTAGCTATGCTGAGGCTCTTTTAGATCTATTTTTCCCTTCTATTAATCCAACACAGCATGAGAAAATTCCAATTGACTTTAGCCAGCACAGTTGAGCCTGGTGTTATATAAATTCACCAATTACTACAGTGTATACAGTAGTAAATAATAATATAGCAATTAAACACCCCACTGCAGTCATAGCAGTCATTTTGCAGCTTATGAAAAATAGTGCTCATTGCAAATGAATATGTCCATGTATGCCTTGAGGAATGCTACAAGGGAATTCCTTATAAAAATGTCACTGAAGTATAAAGAATAAAATCCAGTGCTGCATGAACAATTTTTTTTCTTGTACATCAAGACTTTTTTCTTCCTCTCTCCCACTCCCCACCACCTTCAGCTTTCTTTGCCTTCCTGTCCCCAAAATGTGCTCTAGGGGGATCTGTTCCTCACCACTTCAGAGCATATTTTAAGGGGGATGGTTTGCAGCAAGAAATACTATATTAGCCCCTCCCTATTTTCTGCCAGAAGTTGTTCTATCAATGAGAGACACTAACTGGACACAAAGCATAATTTCTCTGATATATATATATCTGCATTCTAATCATATCCCGATGATATCCTCTACCTTGGAAAGTTGACAACAAAGATATAGATATATATATATTTGTTCATGTCAACTTTCCAAGGTAGAGGATATCATTGGGATATGATTAGAATGAAGATTAACAAAACAAAATACACCAGCACATGCTTTTTTTTTTTTCATCTCCATATCTGGCATACTAGTAAGCTTTGAATTGTATTTGGTCACTATAAGTTAAAAAAGAGCTTAATTAACAAGTCTGATAGCCCAAGCTCCTATCTCATTTAAAATGAGATTCTTCTGCTTAATTGCTTAAATACTTTCAGCCTATTTTTCAATATATTCGTGAAGGCTTTTACGGCCGGCATCTATTTTTCAATATGTTCTACTATTGTAAACCCCACTAATGTATACTATATTCATGTCATCAAGCTACTTTTAAGAATTTCCACCAATGTTCTTTTGGCGATGGGGCATGTCAGTGCTAAAGCAGCACTCAAACAAAGAACCTGGGACATAGAACTTAAAGAGCATATGAGCCAGTCAGGCAAATACAGTGTTGTTACTGTAATAGTGCCTTTACAATATCTTCATATTTGATGAGCACAATGTCAACAAAGACCAGAAGAGCCTTCACATTAGTGAGGCTTAATGTTTCATCCTCTAAACTCATGGAGGGAAGATTTCAATACACATATACCTATCTTGGATTGCCTGTGTCCATGTAATGATGGCCAAGTGGAAACTGTAGGCCATGTCTTACTGTGCTGTCTTTTCTATAGAGATCTACGCACCAACCTCCTGAGCCCAATTATTCTCTGATAGCCAGGGAGACGTAATCAAGCTACTTCTTTCTGATCAAGACTCCCTTATCACATGCTCTGCAGCAAAATTTTGTGCAGCAGCAATGGCACATCGCTCCCTTATAGTCTCCTGAGTTCACAGGTTAACTGGTTTTAGCATGACGGTGGTTTATTGTCGAGTGTAGAGAAATGTTGTGGTCCCAACCAAAGGGAGGAAATATTTACAAATCTGTACAAATATGTAGGAAGGACTCCCTATAACCCAAAGACCCTGTCCAAACTAATTTGCTCCAGACGATCCAACGCTTCAAAGGATAGCTATAAAAATGCTGTATTTTATTCTCCCCATATTTTACAACCAATACACAATTAATTACCTGTTGTTCACTTTTAAATTACATTTTATATATTTTATTCATATAATATGTTTTATGAACTGGTTGTACACTTTTTAAATTGCATTTTATATATATTTAACCACATAATATGTTTGATGAACTGGCTGTACATTTCTAAACTGCATTTTGTATATTTTAGTCACATAACATGTTTTATGAATTGGTTGTATATTTTTAAACTGCATTTTGTATATTTTAGCCATAAATATCTTTTATGAGCTGGTCACCCGACCGTAATAAATAAATTCATACTTTTAAGAATTCCTTTGTGAACTTACAACTCATAAACTTAAAAGAGGCCTTGTGCCATTTGCAAGACATTTTAATAATAACCCAAAGAAGATCATAATAAAAAATGAATAATTTTTAATATGATTGCTACTGCCCCGATCTAAAGGAGTCTGCAAAGTGGAAGCTTCATACAAGTTTGGCACATCAAGCTGCAAATCAGTTTTCAGAAATCCATGAACATCCATTGGCCAAACATTTGTTAATTGTGTGAATCAACTTTCAGAAGAAATTATCACTTAAAGCAACACTTTCATTGGATATGGCTGTTCCTAGTGGAATTGCATCTTCTGGGATTTTCTATTTTATGCAACATCAGTTTCAGTGGGAGAAATAAGCTTGTGCTGCCATTGAAATCAATAGAATCTAAAAGTGCATAGCTTTTAATTCATGCCCATTCACAGTCAGTTGGATTCAGGTTGAGTTTGCTGCTGTAATCTCACTGAAATCAGCAGGATAAGTTGGTCATTACTTAACTTTTGTCTCATGGATTCAAGGAAGATTAAATAAAAATAATTTAGGCTTAGGCTTTTACCCTATGTGGTTGGCTGGATAGTTCAGTTGTTTAGGTATCTGGCTGTGGAGCCAGAGGTTGTGAGTTTAATTCCTCACTGTGCCTCCAGCAAGAAATGTCAGACTGTGTGGTCTTGGGCAAGCTGCATAATCCCAGGATGCCCCCAGAAGAAGGGAATGGTAAACCACCTGAGTACTCTTTACCTGGGAAACCCTGAAGAGGGTTGCCACAGGTCAGGATTGACTCAACGGCACATTGTTGTTGCTGCTGCTATTTCCATATGCAAAATTTTCTGGAGCAAGACTCACTGGATACAGTTATAACAGAACTACAGTAGCAGTTCTGACCCAGCCCAATTTTGGTTTTTTTTTAAATGTGCTTTAAAATGTTCTTTGAAAGTGAGAAAGACTTTTGAGAATTTCCATATTTCTGCAGTTCTACTATCATTCAATCACTGACAATTGAAAACAAACTATTATATTCAGAAACATTACCTAAAATGGACAAAACATCTGCCTGGCAGCATTATAAATAAATAATTTTGTTTACCTGCTGGTGGCTTTATGAAAGGTGGTGGAATTAATGGTACAATAATGGGAACATTGCCATGCTCCTTTGACCCTGCTGGTGATTCTGAGAGTCCATTTCCTGTGGTAAGCCCTGGATAGCTTGCATTTATATTGTAAGATGAAATAACACTGTCTTCAGGTAATTTTGTTTTTGGCAAAGAGTTTTCTGTAGAAGAAAGCAGAATAAAATAGAAAATATATGAAAACTATTAATCAGATGCACCTTCTCAGGGTCTACTTAAGTAACAACAGAGCAAGTGGGACGTTCCCTCAGTTTGGCCGGGGCAGGTTGTGTGAAGAAGCCACCATGCAGCCAAATCAAAGTTAATGGTGCACTTCTATGCCTGTCTTCTCAGAAGTAACTCTACCAAATGGGGCTTACTCCCCGGTAAATGGGTGGCAGAGGACTGCAGTGCTAAAGGTAATATGAACTAGCTGCAGAGCCTTCATATAAACTGTAACCTGAGCTTTTAAAAATCCATAGAAGGTAGACATAGTCTTCTAACTACAACAATTAGTCCTTCTTCCTCTTCTTACAAGATAACATCCACCCCCAAAGAAGACACTGGACAACAGAAAGCAAACATTTTCATGAAAACACTATAAAAATACAGTGACTTTTTCATTTAAAGGGCACAGTTAATTTTTCAGATAATATTAACTTTCTGAGTTTTTTTTTTTTAAAAAGCATTATAGATACATAGGAAGCTGCCTTGTACTGAGCCAGACCATTGTTTGATCAAGTAAAGCATTATTAATACTGACTGACAGCAATGGTTCTTCACAGCTTCAAAAAGAATACTCCGAGCCATATTTAGGGGACATCAAGGATTAAAACTGAAAGTTTCTGCCAGCAAAGCAAGCGTTCTTCCATTGGACCATAAACTTATTCCTGTATTCAGAAGTGAGGTCCCAGTTTCTCTCCACCCTTCATAACACTAGTAGCCCTTACCTCTTGCCACAGAGCATCATGTGAGTCTCCCATGTTACTGTGCCTCTCTAACCATTAATTATGAGGTGAAGTGGTAGTAGAGAAGTGCAGAACATCAGAGCAGGATCGTGTGAGTAAAGAAGGAGGTGGAACTCAGCCATTTTCAGCAGCAATAAGAAATTCATATAGATTTGTACCCTCAAATAGATTTCTTATGCTATAGAGTAAACAAAGCAAAACAAACTCCTGCATGTAGGAATGCTTAAATATTTGTTACGGAGGACTTTCCTGTTAAAAGTTTTAAATCATTTATTTTCAGCTGCAACTCAAGCAACCTAGATCCTAATTCAAAGCAAGCAGAAAGAAATATATATACTTATTCCATGCATGCTGGCACAACAATATATATGTAAAACATCAATTCTAAGAATTAATTACTGGGTTTAATAATACAGCATTAAGGCTAGACACACTTAGTTTGAATACTCATTGTTGTAATATTTCTGTCTGTACTCTTAAAATAACCTCCCATTTTCCATTATGAAAAATACTTTTTTCTTTCTTTATATTTCACATAATGAATACTTTTGTCAAGTACATGTGCCCAACGTCTTCTTTAGTAATATTATCATGGTATAGAAAATCCACGTAGTTTAAATGACATGTAAAATGTTTTCTGTTGATAGGTTTCTGACTTTATTGGTCTTATTTATATGGTGACATCATGTTAACACTAAGTATTTTGAAAAATACATCTGTTTCACATTTGCCTTTTATGAAACATAAACACCTGTAGAAACCTAAATACTGACTGTAATATCTACAATGTTGAGCCAGAGTACTGCCTCGATGATATTAAACATCAAAATGTAGGAAACAAATCGGATACAAAATATCTCCTGAAAAATATGGCTGCGTTTCCCCTTTTGTGCTGCAGCACCTTGTATAATGGCTGTGGTGTTTGCAGGCAGCCATAGGAGGGAAAAATTGGTTGCCCCTGTGCCTCTTCCCTCATCTTATGTTGAGCTATGGTAGCTCAGAGATACTATGCAAGGAACTTTCCTAATACTGTTTTGAAGAAATATGACAATATGGATGGGAGAGCAAGGGCTACCTCTCTTCCAGTTTGCTCTGTGTTGTGAGTCAAAAACACAGTACAAAACAGCTGGAAAGTGGAAACGATTCATTTTCTTCCCAACCATGCTGTGCCTGAAATTAATAATATAGAGCAGTCCTAGTTCATCCTTAGTCCGACAATCTATACTGGTTTTAACAGTGAAAACACTGCATAGACTGGAACATGGAGGAAAGGATGTCATCAGTTCCCCTTCCCAGCATTTCTATTAGAACAGAAAACTGATGTTGTAGTCAAATAACACATCCTCAGTTGAACAGGAAGTTCAAAATAACTGCAACATACCAAGAGCAATATTTAAAAAAAAACATTCAAAAACCATTTAAAAAACCGTGATTTAGGATCAATTACATATCTAATCCCACAACTCGTTATATATAATAACCACCACTTGAGGGGAAGGTGATCAGGAGCATGACATACAAGACAGAAGGTGAAAACATTCCCTACCCACCCAGCATACACGTGTACAACCCCAATAGAGATCTCTGCCCAAGGTGGGCAATAAAGGAGCTTCTCTTCCAAGGTTGAGAGCCCTTTAGGGAAGCAAATTCCATAGGCATTAGATATGCAAGGGATCATCACACTCCGAATCCAGATCCCTCAAGTGACTATTAACTTGATGTAAGGGAACTATATGCTTTAAATAGAGTAATAGATTACATTACAAGGCAATTCAAGCAGCAAAATCTGTATCATGAACTTTGTTAACAATGAACCCTCAATTTGGAATTCCCTCAAACCCTTTGTCTAAGGTCTGCAACAGTTTCGGAGTCTTTTACAGTGTAAATACCACGCTTGGCACTGTTATTTTAAAAAAGTATAGCTGACATGCCTAATCTACTGAGCACATCAATATCAACGTTGTCCCTTTTTTACTCAAAACCTATACAAAAGTTTTGAACTCATTTTACAGTGCTTTACAGATCATGTTTTGATACAGGTTTTCGGTGAAAAGGCCAACATTGATTTGGGGAAACTTAATAGGCTCCCACTCTGGGCATGCTAGTCATACCATTTAGGGTGGCACCAGAAGATGGAGATTTTCACTACAAAATTATTGTGAAAGGTTGGCAAAGATTTTGAGGGTATCCCAAGTTTGGGGGGTTGTAGTTAATGAAAAGTGGCCCTAATACTAAGACAAGATGTAGCATCGGAAGTTAGGGGCTATAATGCAAGTTCTGGCCAAATAGTATCAGTCAGACTCTATGGAAAACCTATTAACATTATCACGATTCTATTATCCAGCTACAGATGTGGAAGAAAATGAAAATGAAAGCTTTTATGCAAGTATCCAAGAGACAATTGATCACACATCAAAAGAAGACAAGCTTAAAATAGATGCCTGGAATGCAAAAGTAGGAGCCAAATGTTGTTGGAAAATGTTCTATAGGGGACAGAAACAAAGCAGGAGAATGTTTCATAGAGTTCTGCTAAGCCAGCAATCTGTTTATTGCAGATGTATGCTTCAAGAAACCAGACAGATGGTTGTACACATGGACATCACCAGATGGTCAATGTACAAAAATAAAATAGGCTACAGTACGTAATTAGAAGCAGGAGATGGAGAAGTTGTATTCTCTCTACCAAAACCAGACTAGGAGTGGATTGGGGTACTGATCATGAACGACTAATTTCAAACATTTGAGTAAACCTGAAGAACCTTTGTGCCAAAATATAATTGAAGCAGCATTTCTGATTAATTTACAGTCCACATAGGGAGCAGATTTGCATTACTAAACTCAATTGACCAAGAACCAAGGATTGACACTAGAGATATCATTAGGGAATAATGCAAAAATTCAATTCTTGTAGTAAAAAGAAAAACCTAGATGGATGACAGAAGAAACACTTAACATTATAAGAAACAGGAAAAAAGCAAAAATAAAAGGTGACAGAAATAGGTCGAGAACCCAGTTTTTCGGTGACTGTAATGTAGAGATGTAGTGGTCACAAAATGAGAAGGCTGATAGTTTAGGTGATCACCAGATAATTAAGAAATCAATTAGTCTTAGAGAGAGAAATTAAAGAAGTCAGTCACACACAGAGATGTCTACCAGCAGAGTCCTCTACACACCTCACTCCATACACCAACTCTTGGACAATACCCCTTTTATTAAGCTTACATATTGTTGATAGCATACAGATAGTTGACAGAATTCAGATAGGATACTGGTTACATAATGCCAATTAGGATAGGCTTAAAAGAGACTTTGAAGTTAGCTCTCTATCTCTATGAGAAAGAGGAAGAATAGGTAGCAGCTTCTCTCAGAAGCAGTTGCGTTATATCCAGGAGAGTGTGCTCTACACTGATTGATAGCATACAGCTTAGCAACCTTGGGGAGCCCCCTCCCCATAGAGACAACAAGAACTGTTACGACAACCAGTGCAGATAAATAGAGGAGAATAACAAAAGGGGACAAACAAGAAATCTCTTCCAGAAGATCCAAGAAATCAAAGGGAAATTTGAGTCTAGATTAGGAATCCTGAATGACCAACAGGGCAGCACACTATCTGACCAGGAGACAATAAAAATTAAGTGGAAATAGTAAACTGAAGATCTATACAGAAGAGATAAAAGGATGATAGACTCCTTTGAAGAAGAATCCTATGATGAAGAACCCTTCCTAAAGAGTGAAGTGAAAGCTGCTCTGAAAGCGTTAGGAAGAAATAAATCATCAGGGGTAGATGGACTACTGATAGAACTAATTCAAACTACAGAGTTAGAATCTGTCAAAATCCTAACAAGAATATACCAAAATAATATGGAAAGTGAATCAAAGGTCAACAGACTAAAAATGTTTGATACAAATTCCAGTCCCAAAGAAGGGAGATTGTAAGGAGTGAAATAAGCATAGGACCATTGCTTTAATTTCCCACACAAGTGATGCTCAAGATGTTGCAACAAAGGTTTTTATCTTACATGGAGCGAGAAATGCCTGATGGTCAAGTATGATTCTAAAAAAGAAGAGACATTCAAGTTCATATTGCAAATATCTGTTAGAAAGATGAACAATTGGGTCCTAGATCAAATCAAGCCTAAACTATCTGTGGAGGCAAAAAAAAAGTTGAAACTGAGGCTGTCCTACCTTGGGCACATCATGAGAAGGCAGAGTTCTCTAGAGAAGAGAGTAGTGCTGTGACAGCTTGAAGGCAGCAGGAAAGGGGGAAGATCAAATATAAAATGGATTGACTCCCTAAAGGTAAGTTTTTGTTTACAAGAACTGAGTGAAGCAGTTGAGGACAGGACATTTTGAAGATCATTCACTCATAGGGTCACAATAAGTCATCAGCAACTTGACGGCATGTAACAACAACAATAGTTAATGAAGATAGCCTTCTGTCAAGCAACTGTGGAGTGAATAAGTGGAATTGGTGGCAATAACAGTAATGTTGAAGTGCATGTATAATTTAAAAAAGGAGTACTCTAGACCAGTGGTCTCCAACCTTGGGCCTCCAGATGTTCTTGGACTTCAACTCCCAGAAATCCTGGCCAGCAGAGGTGGTGGTGAAGGCTTCTGGGATTGTAGTCCAAGAACTTCTGGAAGCTCAAGGTTGGGGACCACTGTTCTACACAAACAGCCAAAAAGAACAAGACAAATGGGAGGAGCTGATTGCTAAGACTTGCCTTTTTAAGTATTCTTCCAGATACGCTGACTCAGAACTCCTGAAATAAACTCCTGACAGGAACTTTAACTCTATTTCTCCCATGAGTGATATACAAGTGAATATTATGCGGTAATTTCCCCTTCCCATATAGACCATTGGCTACTTGAAATGCAAACAGCATGTGGAAAGCAAAGGATGCATTGCTAATTCTCTAAAGCGAGGGCAGGTGATCTTGGCAGGTCTGAAGGCCTATTTTCATTTTGTCTGGTGGTGGAGAGACCACACTACAAGAACAACAAACCACCAGAAACTGATGGTCCAGCTTTCTGGCTTCTTCCACATTAATTGCTATTTGTTTGTTATTTCCCAGTACTGTATTGCCTCAATAGTTAAGAGATGGTTGAATCTTTTTCCATTTCTTTAATGACATGTTTGTAAAATTCTCCTTGGTTCATATTCGGTGCATACACATTTACTAATGTGTATTCTTCTTCCCCCATTTGTCCTTGGATTATCAAATATCTGCCATTACTATCTTTTATTATTTCTTTTACTACAAATTCACAATGTTTAGATATTAATATTGCTACCCCTCTAGATTTGGATGTCCCAAATGTTTTTTCATATATATGTATATTTTGCAATTTCAGTTCATTGACTCCATCCTTTAATTGATGTGTCTCTTGTAGATAGATAATGTCAACTCTACTTTTTTTTAATAATAATTCTATTTTCCTTCTCTTTAATACAGCTCCTAGGCCTTTCACATTTAAAGTGGCTACTCTTATGTTTTTCCCCATATCTGTTCAATCTTTTGCTTCTTAGTTGGTCCCTTTGTGCAATTCCCAAAACATAAACAAAAACAACTAAAAAAATTAAATTCACCTCTTTCTAATTCTCTATCCCTACCCTTCCTCCCTACATATAAACATTTTTCCTCCCTCCAGCTTCCCCGCATCTCACTAATGTTAAACACGCGATCTGGGAGGGGGGGAGACGCCACTCCCACCAGTCTGGACCCCAGCCGAACCTCCACCTCCTTTTCACCCCACATCATATATTTATTCACATATATATATCCAAATGCCTTCCCTTTTTTATTTGTTCAATCCCATCTTAATCGGACAATCCAGAGCAATAACAAAACAAAACAAACCAATAACAATAACCAAAACTTCCCCCCCTTTCTTTTTTTTTCTTCCTTCTTTTTTTAGACCCATATATGTGTGCACATACTTGTAAAACACATGCTTATAATTAGAAAAAGGG